CCTTTCTTTTAAATTGAAGAAGCGTTCAAAATCCTTGTAATAGTATGAACCTATTCTAGGGATTACTATGAGATCTATTACAGGGAAACCTAAAATAGCACCAAATTCTTCCGGCAAAGGGCTAATTTCATCATACCCTATTCTATAGCAATGAGTATCAACATCCCAATATTCTAGAGCGGTATGAATAAAATCTAAGTCAAGATCTACCCCTTTGATACCATAAATTCCCCCCAACTGGAACACATCTAATTCTTTTCTTTCTTTGGCATTAAGAGACCAACACCATTCATGGGTGTATTGGGTAAAAGTTTTGATGACTAGAGACATGATATTATTTTTCTAAAGTTAAGAATTATTTTATTTGCTGAAATTATGAAAAGAATCGGCTAGGCAGAGGGCTATTTATGCACGAAATCGGAGAAGTTTTAATCTTGGAAGGATACGGAGTCAACGCTATTTGGCGCCACACGCTGCTATTGGCGCCAAATGCTAAGTGTAGCGCCTGGCGCTGCACCAAAACGCGTGGCGCCAGCTGGCGCCAATTTGCCTCGTCGTACGCGCTTTCTAAAACCGCGTTTTTACCTTAATTCAAGTCTGCTAATGACCTTACGGCTTCCTTATCTTTTTCTAAACATCTTTTTATTCCTTTTTTAATTAATATAGCTATTATACTAATTATATTATTTTTTTTTTGAATTTATTTAGATTAATTTCCAAACCCAATATTTTATTTTGTTTGACTTTTCCTTTTTTTCATTTTTTCTTTTTGAGGGAGAAAGTCGGATACCCTCCATCAATAATAAAAATGACGGAATTTTTGCGCAAAATTATTTGTCACACTTTCTTGCACACACAAACATGCACATAATAATGATAAAAAAAAAACACATGATAAATAAAATAAACTCATAATAATATGTATATACAAAATATGTCTAAAAATAATAAGTCTAACTAAAAGGCAAAGTTCTATACAAAGTCAAATAAATAAGCAAAAAGGACAGGTACAAACTACGGCGCCGGGGGAGGTAAACCCATCATCGCATAAAACTCTACCGTACGAGGAGTAACCTCTCCACCTGCTCAGGCTCCAGCTCCAGCATCAGCTCCAGTCTTCGCATGAGGAGGAAAACTCAACGTGGGACCAGTCCACCCAAGATCAACCTGAGGCTGAGGCTGCGGAGGCTGCTGCGATGATGAGCCAACCTCGTATATCCCACCACCTCTAAGAGACAAGGTAGCCTCTCCCTAGCCTATCGGCGCAGCATGAGCACCTTCAGAGGAGGAACCTGAGCCCTCTACCACATCAGTACGGGCAGCCTCAGAGCGACCGCCTCTACCTCCCGAAGTAGTACGGCGACGTCTCGAGCTAGACCTCGTCGGATCCCTCCGCATCTCAGGTTTCATGCGGGTACGAGAAGGAATGGGCTGACGCTGCAAAAGGAATTAAAATCAGAAACAAGGCAAAATTGAAGCGGTAATACAAAAACATATGAAAGAAAGACTACCTCCTGAACGGCGTCGTCCCGACGGCAGGTAGCCACGTTCCTCATCCGGACAAGCTGGCTCCGGAAGGCATCTATACATCGTGCCATCGCCTAAGCCACCTCGCGCGAGAACTGTCAAAGAAATAAGTCAGTAAACATGCATAATATATATGGACAAAAGTTGCAAATAAATAAGCTTACCCGAGTCTGGTGCCGAGGAATCGACCGCTCTACGAAGCGCTCGTCCTCAGGAGCTGGAGGAAGCATCTCCTCAATCGGCCCATATGTCCCCTGGTAATGGATAGACATACAGGGTGGCAAGAACTCAGCAGCATCGTCCTGATAAAGCAAAACAAAGTCAGTGAAGCATTACTTGGGGGCTACTTAACGAAAGATAAAAGCTGAAAAATTGTACCGCCACATCCTCAGCCGGTACAGGAACTAGAGCTAACAACGGCAGTAGCTCCTTCGCATAGCATCGCCCAGGGATCGTGCAAGATCGCCAAGGGGCACCAGCTCCCTCTAACATGCTCAACAACCTCGCGGCGTTAAACATGTGACGTGGTGGAGGAGCAGGAAAGACAAAAATATCGGAGGAAGGATGTCTAGCAACCCTCTCTCCAAGGTATGCAATCGTTCCATAGGTTGCGAAGAAATAGCGACGCTTAGCAGAATACTACGCGGCTAACCCAGGGACTGCCAGATTGACCCATGGCCTGTACAGCACCTCAGGGTTCTGCAAAGAGCGTCAATTAGGCAAGAATCTATCTAAAGCATCACAAAATAGAAAATAAGAAAAGAATCATACCGCGATGATCCAATCTCGGACATACGCAGTGGACATCCCCACACGGCGGCTGCCCCAGAAAGCACTGACTGGAAACCTGCGCGGTGACGGTCTCGCCGGTGCAGCAGAAGGAAAGTACTCATAGAACCAAATCTACAAGGAGTTAAAATTATCAGCAAGTGCTGGCTAAAATGTAGAGCTAAACTTTATAGGGAATAATGTTTACCTCTATGACCCTCCAAAAACTGGACAGAGCAACATTCGTCTCAAAGGACCGTTGTCGACACGAGTCCCTCAACACTCGAATGAAGTCAGCATAGGCCAAGCTGGCCCATTCATAAGTCCCGATCCAATGTAGATCGTGGACGGCAAGAAGGTAGTAAAGTAGCGCCCTACTACCCTTGTTAAAGGAGAACGTCCCTGAGACCAAATTGGCCCGTTCTGCCATAAGTACGTCCATATTCCGCTGAGTAGGATTCGACAATGAATGGGGTTGAGTTAGTAATTAGAAAACTTCCTTTTCTTGATCTTAATTCACCTTGCGCACCCGCTGCTGATAAGCCGTCTTATCAAGGGTTGAGAGAAGAGTTTTAGGGTGTGTTTTGATGTTGTGCATGAGTTTTTAATAGCTTTTGTGAGTTTCGGGCGGTGATCTCACTTGTGTGCAAAAGCCGGGATTTATAGGTGTTAGTGAGTGAGTTCGGGAACTAATGAGGAGGATTATAGAGTATGGACCTTAGCTCGTGATTTGAGAAGCGTGATGGAGCTTGGAAGAGCAAGGGAGAAAGCTTGAGTAAAGGTGAAGCAAAGCTAGAAGAAAGAGCAAAGAAGACAGCAGAACCGCTGCCAGGGCCGCTGGCAGCTGGCCAGAGCCGCTGGCAGCGGGTCAGCCAGAGAGGACGAAGTGTTTTGCTGCTTTAGCCGCTGCCAGCGGGTCCCGAGCAGCTGGCAGCGGGTCTTCCAGATTTCGGGGCCTGTTTTGGTTATTTTTCAGTAGTTTGCTTTGTCTTGGCTCGTGTTTTGTATTTATTTATTATTTTTATTATTGTTTTATGTTATTTTAAGTATGGAAACATATATATAGTCTATTTTTATGAAAAGTTAGTTAGTGAGAATTAAGTTAGAGAGAAGTAAAAGTTTTCTAGGGTTCTTGGCAAATTTCAGAAATCTTTGTTTTTGAATTAGAATCCATGGAAGCTTAATCTTCCGGATTCTTGGTTAAAGATTGAAGCTTTTGGCTACGAATTGTGAGATTTCTCTTCTCTTTATTATCTATTGAATGTTTATTATTCCTTTGAATTATTTCATGATTTGCTTTAATCAATTGTTAGGTTAGAATTGTTAGATTCGCTTGCATCTAATTAATCTTTCCAAAGTAGCAACTTTGGGTTATGAATGCATGCTTTTGATTGATAACTTAAAGAGGGAATAATATTATTGAAGAAATTAGACCGCTTGTGTTAATTTATTCAATCCTTGTTGATTTCTCCGTTTATGTTCTTCTTGTGGATGATTTAGAGCGCTTGTCTTAAATTATACATTAGAAAGGGTTAGAAAGGAGCGCTTTGCTATTTCTAACTAGCTTATGAGAATTTAGAATTTAGAATTCTACAACAAGGTGTTCAATAGTGTTGGATTGAAGAGGCTTCTATGATCAATTTGTATGTTCAATTGTGGATTTCGCATAACCAAGACCGTTATTCTCATTGATTGCATACTATTTACGTTCATTGTTCTGATTTAGTTTAGTTGTCACCATTGCTTGTCAAAACCCCCTTGTTACTTAGATTACTACGTTCCTAGAGTAATTCCACTTAGGTTTGCAGTTATTAGTCCCTTTTTCCCTGTGGATTCGAACTCGACTCCCCTAACTACGTTTATTTGCAGTTAGCTTAGTTGTGATATTTTTGGTTGCATACGACTGAGGCACACCAAATTTTGGCGCCATTGCCGGGGAATTAAGGCGTTACTTTTTAATTGTTTATCTTAGTAGAATTTATTTTAGGACTGTTCTTAGCTATCTTTCTTTGTTTGTTCGCTAGGGTATGATAAGTACCCGTTCTGCTAACAAAGAAGTTTTGCAGTTTGATCCAGAAATTGAAAGGAATATTTCCAGGTTGCGAAAAGAGGCAAGAACAACCCCTAGTGAATCAACGTACTCCTTCAATATTCAAGAAGAAGAGGAGATGGCTGACAATCGAACTCTAAGGGAACTCATAGCTCCCAACTTGAACCAACAACCGTTGTGCATTGCATACCAGCAGTTGGAGGAAGGTACTAATGTTGAGATCAAATCCGGTCTAATTCATCTATTGCCGGCATTCCATGGCATGAAAGGCGAAGATCCGAATAAACATCTGGCAGAATTTCATGTGGTTTGCACTAGCATGAAACCGATTGGGATGACTGATGAACAAATTCAGTTGAGAGCATTTCCTTTTTCTCTCAAAGATGCAGCAAAGGATTGGTTTTACTATCTTCCCCCAGGTAGCATAACAACTTGGGCAGATTTAAAGAAGTGTTTCCTTGAGAAGTACTACCCAGCCACTATTTCTGCAAGCCTTAAGAAAGCTATCAGCAATGTGGATCAGAAGGAAGATGAATCCTTGTATGAGTATTGGGAGAGATTTAAGAGATTGTGTGCTAGTTGTCCTTACCATGGGTATTCCGATCAAGACCTCATCCTATACTTCTATGGAGGTCTAACTGATGATGACTTGAGGATGGTGAATGCAGCAAGTGGTGGAGGGCTAGTGAATAAGACTCCAGGAGATGCAACTAGGTTGATTGCAGAGCTAGCAGAAAATTCTAGGCAATTCAGTCAGAGAACTCCCGCGCGCCGGGTGAATTTAGCAAATTCGAATACAACTGAGTTAGAGAGTCAAGTAGCTGATTTGACTTCTATGATGCGTGAGTTCATGGTGAACTCAAGGAATCCACAGCAACTGAATGCTTGTGGTTTATGCACCTCCATGGGACATCCCACTGATGCATGTCCTCAATTACAAGAGGAGCAGAATGAGCAGGCCAATGCAATGGGTTTCCAAGGGCAAGGTCCTCAGAGAAGATATGATCCATATTCAAATACATACAATCCAAGATAGAGGGATCATCCAAATTTGAGATATGGGAATTCCCAGGGGAACCAACAACAACAGCAAAATGCTCAAGGCCAGCAGCAATATCAGCAATATAGGGCACCATTAGCCAAACCTCAAGGCCAAAGCTCAAATTCGAGTAATATGTCAACTGAAGAAATGATTAGATCACTAACTTCTAATGTTTCTACTATGCAGCAAAACATGGTGCAATTCCAGCAAGAAACCAAATCCAGTATTCAGAATTTGGAAAGTCAAGTGAGCCAAATTTCAAGTGCAGTGAGCAGACTTGAAGCTAAAGATTCAGGAAAACTTCCATCTCAAACGGAGTTGAATCCTAAGCAACAAGCCAACGCTATTACATTGAGGAGTGGCAAGGAGCTGAAAGAGACTGAAATTGCAACCAAGAGGGCTGAAGAGTTGATTGGAGCTGAAGAGAAGGAAGTGGAACATGAAGCTGTAGCAAATCCTCCCACTTTTCCATCTTATGAACCCACACCACCTTTTCCTGAAGCTTTGAAAGAAACAAAGAGGTATGAGAAAGACAAAGACATTTATGAAACATTCAGCAAGTGTGAGGTAAACATTCCCCTTTTGAATTTAATAAAAAGTGTTCCTCGATTTGCTAAATTTTTGAAAGAACTGTGTACTATAAAGAGGAAGCACAGGTTAGGAGGGAAGGAAAAAGTGAAAGTGAGTGCTCATGTTTCTGCAGTTTTCCAAAAGAAACTTCCTGAAAAATGCAGTGATCCTGGTATGTTTACTGTTCCAGTTACAATAGGGGACACCACTTTTCATAGAGCTATGTTGGATTTGGGTGCATCAATTAATGTTATTCCATATTCCCTGTTCAAATCTTTGGAACTTGGACCTTTACATGAAACCGGGGTAGTGATTCAATTAACTGATAGGTCAAATGTTTACCCTAAGGGAGTGGTGGAAGATGTGCTTGTGAAAGTTGATGAACTAATTTTTCCTGCTGATTTTTATGTGCTTGATATGGAACATGATAGACAAGCAGTCCCCATCTTGTTAGGAAGACCCTTCTTGAAAACTGCTAGGACTAAAATTGATGTTTTTACTAGTTCTTTAACTATGGAGTTTGATGGGCAAGAAATTGTGTATAACATCTATAATTCCATGAAATATCCTGTTGACACTCATTCTTTGTGTTCCATTGATATCATTGATCCTATAGTGCAGGATGTCTTCGATGTTAAGGGCGAGGATGCGCTCCTCACTTCCATTTCTAATGATTTATCTGCTGATTGTTTGGATATCCCTTTGCCTAATAGTGTGCAGATGATGGTAGCAGAGTTGAATAGCCATTCCAAGCTCCCACTTAGACCACCAGGTTCGACACCTACCCCATTGACAGTGCCTACTGATAAACTCTTACCTTCTGTTTTGCAGGCACCCCAGGTGGAGCTAAAACCACTTCCTGATCATTTGAAATATGTGTTCCTTGGTCAGAACGATACTTTACCTGTTATAATTTCAAGCAAATTGACCAAGGAGCAAGAGGACAAGTTGGTGACAGTGCTGAAAGAGCACAAGTTAGCTATTTGATGGACCATTGCAGACATTAAGGGAATAAGTCCATCCACTTGCATGCATCGTATTCTGCTAGAACATGATGCCAAACCTGTGAGGCAACCTCAGCGTCGCCTGAATCCTCCCATGATGGAAGTGGTAAAGAAGGAGATCATAAAATTATTGCAAGTAGGAATGATATTTCCTATATCTGATAGTAAATGGGTCAGTCCTACGCAGGTGGTTCCTAAGAAAAGTGGTGTGACTGTGGTAGAAAATCAACAGGGTGAAATGGTTCCTAGTAGAGTTCAAAATGGTTGGCGAGTTTGCATTGATTATCGTAGGTTGAATGCAGTAACTAGGAAAGACCATTTCCCTTTACCTTTTATTGACCAAATGATCGAAAGACTTGCAGGGAAATCATATTACTGTTTCCTTGATGGGTATTCTGGGTACTTTCAAGTGCCCATTGCACCTGAAGATCAAGAGAAGACAACTTTTACATGTCCTTTTGGCACATTTGCGTATCGACGTATGCCTTTTGGACTATGTAATGCACCTGCAACCTTTCAGCGATGCATAATGAGCATCTTTTCTGAGTTCGTTGAGCATTTCATGGAAGTATTTATGGATGATTTCACTGTTTATGGTGATTCTTTTGATAAATGCTTGCATCACTTATCTATGGTCCTTAAAAGATGTATTGACTCTAACCTCGTCCTAAATTCTGAGAAATGTCATTTTATGGTCCAACAGGGCATTGTGTTAGGTCGTGTAGTCTCTTCTAGAGGTATTGAGGTTGATAAGGCTAAGATTGATACTATTCAGTCTCTTCCTTATCCTACTAATGTGCGTGAAGTGCGTTCTTTTCTTGGCCATGCAGGTTTCTATCGTAGGTTCATTGAGGGATTCTCAAAGCTTGCGAATGCTATGTGCAAATTGCTGCAGAAAGATGTGAAATTCCACTTTGATGATGATTGCAAGAAGGCTTTCGACAAATTGAAGGCTAAGCTCATTTTTGCCCCTATCATTCAAGCCCCAGATTGGTCTCTACCATTTGAGATAATGTGTGATGCGAGTGATTATGCAGTTGGAGCTGTGTTAGGCCAGAAAGTAGGGAGGGCATCTCATGTGATCTATTATGCCTCAATGACCCTCAATTCAGCCCAACGAAACTACACTACCACAGAAAAAGAGTTGTTAGCTGTAGTATTTGCTCTAGAAAAGTTTCGATCTTATTTGCTTGGTACTAAAGTAATTGTTTTCACTGATCATGCAGCTCTTCCCCACTTGATGACGAAGAAAGAAGCCAAACCAAGACTAATAAGATGGATTCTGCTCTTATGTGAGTTTGAGTTGGAAATCAAGGACAAGATAGGCGCGGAAAATCTAGTTGCTGATCATTTGAGTCGTTTGTCCCATATTGTTGATCAACCATCATTTCCATACCAATTCCTAGGAGAATTTCCGGATGAATCTTTATTTGCTCTTAAGGATTTGCGGCCTTGGTTTGCTAACATTGTGAATTTTCTGGTTTCTCAACAGTTTCCGCCAGGTTTCACAAAGTCTCAAAAGGACAAGCTTTGAAATGATGCGAAGTATTATGCATGGGATGATCCATACTTGTGGAAGTTCTGCTCCGATCAAATCATTCGCAGATGCATTCCCAAAAATGAGGTGATCCCTATTCTCACCTTCTGTCATTCTCATGCTTGTGGAGGACACTTTGGAGCCAAACGCACAGCAAGGAAGGTTCTTGACTGTGGTTTTTACTAGCCAAGTTTGTTTCGAGATTCCTATGGATTTTGTAAATCTTGTGATAATTGCCAGAGAGTAGGTAACATTTCCCAGAAAAGTGAAATGCCCCAATCCTCTTTACTATATTGTGAAATATTTGATGTTTGGGGTATAGATTTCATGGGACCATTCCCTATTTCTCACGGTTTTACTTATATACTTCTTGCTTGTGATTATGTGTCGAAGTGGGTGGAAGCAATACCCACTAGGACTGACGATTCTAAAGTGGTTTCAGGTTTTATCAAATCTTACATATTTTCTAGGTTTGGAATCCCGAGGGCGTTGATAAGTGACCGAGGAACGCACTTTTGCAACCGTACAGTGGGTGCTATGTTGAGGAAGTACTCCGTTCACCACAAAATCTCCACGGCTTATCACCCACAAACCAATGGGCAAGCCGAGGTGTCCAATAGTGAGGTGAAGTCAATTCTGCAGAAAACGGTGAATCCGGATAGGAAGGATTGGAGTTTGAGGTTGGAGGATGCTCTATGGGCGTACCGCACCGCATACAAAACACCTATCGGGATGTCCCCTTACCGCCTTGTCTTCGGAAAACCGTGCCATCTTCCGGTTGAGCTTGAGCATAAAGCATATTGGGCGGTTAAGTCATTTAACATGCAATTGGATGAAGCGGGTGAACATCGGAAATTGCAACTCCAATAACTAGAGGAGATCCGGCTTGAGTCCTATGAGAATGCCGATACTTATAAAGCAAAGACCAAGCTATGGCATGATCGAATGATCACGCGGAAGGAGTTCAAAGTCGGTGACAAAGTACTCCTATATCAATCCAGACTTAGATTATTTCCGGGAAAACTTCGGTCCCGTTGGGAGGGCCCTTTTCAAGTGGTGAACGTATATCCGCATGGAGCAGTTGAAATTCAAAGCCTCGAGACCGATAAGGTTTTCAAAGTCAATGGACAAAGGCTCAAACCCTACTTCGAGGGTTTCAAAACCGAGAACGTGGAGAGCATCGATCTCTACGAGCCATCAATGGAGTAGCGAAGTGGGATGAGCCGCGTCGAGCCAACGACGTAAAACAAAGGCGCTATGTAGGTGGAGGCAACCCGATCGAAAACTCTTCCCCATTTCTTTTCGTAGTTTATTTTTTTATTTTTTTTTTTAATTTTTCTTGTGATGTGAAGAGTGTTTTTGTTGTTTCTATGTAGGTGGAGGCCTCGGGAGCATCTTTTATGCCCGAAACACAGCAAAAACAAGCTGAAACAGAGCCAAAGGGGACATTCCCTGCTGAAGCCGCTGGCAGCTGCTCTGCAGCCGCTACCAGCGGGTCTTCAGGCAGCCCAAAAACCCCAGGCTCTGTCCCAGCCGCTGGTAGCTACTGCAGAGCCGCTGCCAGCGGCACCCCTCCTAAAAAAAAAAAAAAAAAAAAAAAAAAAAAAAGGAATCAGTATCAGCCGCTGCCAGCTGCCCCGTACCCGCTGGCAGCGGGTCTTCCAGCCCAGAAAACCCCAAAAAACCTGCCAGAGCCGCTGCCAGCGGGCCTCAAGCCGCTACCAGCGGGCCTCAAGCCGCTACCAGCGGCTCCACCAGCCTCCCCGATATTTTCCCCCTTATTTCCCCCTTTCCAACTCCTACCTTCATTACTCCTTTCATAAACCCCAATTCCCACAAACCCTTACTCCTTTTCTCCTCCTTCTCTCTATTCTTTCATCCTCTTACTCCAATTGCACCGATCCCCTACCAATCTCCCTTTCCCAAGTCCTTGCCTTTCATCCACTCCTCAATTCCCATCACAATTACAACCTAGATTTTCCATTTTCTCTTGATTTCAAGTGTGACATTGAGTTGGTTGTGAAGTTGTGCAAGTTGAATTTCTCGTAATTGAAAGTGAAGGTCAAGGTACAAGCATACAATTAGAGTCATGGGAAGGGATAACAAGAGGTCTAAGGCATCATCTCCATCAAGACCACCAAGGGGCAAGAAGCAAGGTGCTTCTTCTAGTCAAGGTGAGGCACCTCCATTGCCTCGAGGGGATGGATTCATGGGTATGCGGTTGAATTCCAAGGAGAAGGGGATATGGACTAAGCTTCAACAACCACGACGAACGGTGCAATGTACCAAGTTTTTTGACTTAGAAGCTTTGCAAGAGCTAGACATGGAGGAAGTAGTGCGGCTCTTGCTAAGGAAAGTGGGTCTGGAGAATTTCATGACCAAATGCGCCCCCACCTATGTCAGGTATACCTATGAATTCCTTTCAACTCTTACTAAAGGACGTGATCAAATATCCTTTAATTTGAATAATAGGAATTATGTTGTGTCTTATGATGATATGCGAATGGCATTTGGTTGGGATGCACCCCCATTGGTGAACCATTGGGGTGATCATAGCACGTACTCGTCCCGAACATTTTGGAGGGCTATAACTGGTTGTGAAGTTGACCCTCATGGTGATCATAGCTTCAAGATCACTCACCCATGCCTTAGACTCGTGCATAGGTTTATTTCGTCCACTATTCTATGTCAAGGGGAAGCCACTAAGGTTCCCAAAATTACATTGTCTTATTTGTGGGCGATGACCCCGGAGGGTGTCGGTACTCCCAATTGGGTCGAGATTTTTGTTGACAGTTGTGTAATGGTGCGGTCAAACTCCAGTGGCCACATTAGCATGGGTGGCATGGTCTCTTTGCTTGCTTGTTATTTGAATGTTCCACCCCCTGAGGATCTTGTGCCAGTAGATTCGGCATACTTAACGTATAACATCATGACTCTGGTCAAGATCGGTCTATTATCGCGTTCCCTCGTCGCCGGTAGTTATTTATGGCGATACTGACCACAGGGTTTGAACTATTTGAGAATTCCTCGTCCCGAGGGACGAGCATTACCTTTTGGCCCTGCTGCCGCAGACTTTTTCCTTGCGCCCGACCCGGATGTTGCCCCCTATTTGGGAGATGCCGAAGTAATAATTGAGAACATGGGAGAGGAGAATCCCGATGTTCATATGGGCGGAGAGTTTGTTGATGAGGAAGGGGGTGAGGATGCTGCTGGAGTGCAGCACGATGATTGGCCTCACTGGAGGGCTGATGTAGATGATAGACTAGAGGAGGTGTGCGATGGGATGCAAGAGCTGCTTGCATATCAGAGAAGCATGAGTCGGTTTTATACCGCTCAATATCCACAGTATGAGCCCCCAACTGAGGCGTTCATGGATCACCTGGCATCCCGTGCTTTGCGTCGTTCCGAGAGGCGTGCTTCTCGGGGTGATGCCGGCTCTTCTGGCT